TTAAGTTTGCAGATTGAAAATAAGAAAACACGAACACTGTGAGTCACGGGACATTTACGAGTCGACTCTGATCTGTGGTAAAGCTTGCTGGTTAACCTTTAGCCGCTTTTACCTGCTGGTTCTGGGTTGTGTGTCTGACTGAGTCTGTTTCCAGCAGCTGTTGTTTTCAGAGGATCAGTGTCGCACACAACAGACCCGCTCAGAGCAAAGCTCTTTCAAATAAAGTTCTCTGGAAAAATGAAAACTTCCTGGTAAAAATAGGTGTGTGTTTTTGACTTGCAAATGAGGAACGGTGCTGCATGCAGGACGTCAGCACAGCAGCAACCACCAGCTTCCTCCACCGCCCTCCCTCTCTCTGTGTGGCCTGGCCTTGCTCGTATAAACTGTGCAGAAGGAAGTCATAAAGGGTTTCTCACAGATTCTCCGTGAAGACGCGCAGACGGGACAGTGCTGCAGGTAAGCCTGCTGTTTCTACCCCACCTCACCGATATGCTTACATGTCACATGTCTGGCCTTTAAACGCTGTGGTTAGCAGCTATATTTACACAGAACCTGTTGGTATTAGTGTGTCTGCTCACAGATCTGAAAGTGTGAGAACAGTGAAAAAAGGAAAATGTTTTCTGGTTTCGGGATGAGAATGTAGCGATGGGAGCTTCTCTTCCTGTGGTTTCACTGCTCGCGGCGCGCACAAGCTTGTGTCTCACAGGTGGCATCTTTAATGTGGTTCAGTGGTTCCTGGCCTGCAGGCTGCACAGAGGTGCAAACATCCAAACATCTGCTTTCCTCTGCTGTCCATCATTAATGAGAACCATGGATGTGAGCGTTTTAGCTGCGAGGTAACTGATTGGTTATTGGCTGCGTTTGTGTGCTGTCGCCTCACAGTAAGAAGGTGTCCCCGTGGCTGTGAGGGTCCCATCAGGGCTCTCTGGCGCCCCCCTCCCCGGTCTGGAGACACGTGTGCTGGAGTAAGTGGATGCGAGGCATCACGCCATTTGGGTGTGATTTATACCCTACACGCTGTTTGCTCACTGAAAGCTTCTAATATGGCGGACTGCACCGCAGCTCTTTGATGATGAGGCCAGTTGATGTGAATTTGTGGCAGATTGACGCAACGCTCTTTTTACTGGTCACCACAGCAACCCTCGACCTCCTCCCATCGTCCGCTTGTCGGGCCTGATCTGCACTTCGGCGCCGAGTGTGGCCGACATCACGGCTGCTGTTTCTACTCGTGCTGGTGTTTAATGTGCAACAAAAACATGAAACGCTGGGACGTCTTGTACTTGGTTATTTTCGTGGTCAAACATTTGTCCCTCAGGATTTTCCACTTTGTTGTTTTTCCCTCACGTCCATACCGACAGTCTGATCTCCCTCTGGGAATGGGCTGACGTCCTTATACTGATGCTGTGATGAGTATTTCTAATATTGAGACCATGATTGTTGACCTCTCACTGACATTTGAAATCTGTGGTTGAAAAAGTAGCTGGAAATGCAGCGGAGTGTGGATGGTCTGCGGGCTGCGTCGACCCAACGTGTACCTGCATCTCTTGTGAGGTGCAGACAGATTCACGCAGGTACGGCGTAGATTCCTGCTGAAGTACAAATCCTCACTGTCGACCACACACAGACACCACAGTGATGTTTGAGGACAGGTTTAGTTGTCAGTGACATGTCAGTGAGTCTTCTGGGAGACATTACCGGTGGCGACGCAGCGTTGTGACTAGGGCTGCCACGATTAGTCGACTATCAAAATCGTCGACGACTGATTTAATAGTCGACGCGTCGTTTGAAGCTTTGTAAGATCCCAAAAGACGCAGGAATAATAGCAGGATTTAAGAGTGTAATAACGGACTGAAACAGAAGATGGCAGCACAGCATGTACAAGGATGCCAGCTGCCGTTAAACCCCGAAGAAGAAGAAGCTGTGTCCCAGAATTCATAGCGCAGCCCTGCTTAGTTTCCAACAATGGCGGCAGCTAGTTAGTTTTAATGTTACTCTTATTATTCTTTCTGGGTCACAAAATAAACGTTTAACATATTTTCAGGCGAGAATGTAGCTGTGTAAACCTCAAATATCTGCTCAGTTTATCAGGACACCGCATATTTTCAAAAGCGCTCCAACGTTTTCAGAGACGTCTGTTACCCACTAGCTCGATAGCTAGCCGGGGGCTAGGTCACTAGAGCCGTGAGAACACCGGACTCCCGGCAAATTGTTTTCAAACCCACCGCCGTCTGTCGCTACTCAGGTTAAACATGATATATAAGTCACTTAGATAACTTAAATGTTGTTGTTTGGCTTTTTTTAGTATTTTATTTGTTCCTGAGTAAATCGGTTTGGCTGAGATTAAAGTTATAGTTTTTACACAGCTGAATAAACGTCAAGCAGACAGCTGATTATCAGAAGTGTGAGATGCTCCAGAATATACTCCGGTGTCCTGTTATATTTTAGATAGCAAGGAGTTTATTAAACTTCACCGAAACAATCTGCAAACTTCATTAAAATTTAATAAACTATCATCTTGTCTTTATTTTTAGTTAGCACCTTAAACACTTAAAGCTGTAAGCTAATGATAGTTATATAAGAGCAGATGCTGCTGGTGCAATAAGCTGTAGTTTTACGTCCAATGGATGATGATCTGATTAGTCGACTATCAGAACGAGGCTTCACCAGAGAAAATAGACCCTCTCTGCGTGTGAAACTTTGCTGCTGATGTGTCACATCTGGAAATAGTTTTTTAAACAATGTTTTCTTTGCCAATAAAAAGATTCTCAGGAAGTTTCGATAAGCGGTGGCTGCTGTTTCTCTGTAACTGGGTCGCACTGTGGTAACTAAGCCGCTGTGACCACAAGCTGCAGCTTCGCGGTGCTGATGTAACAGAGCAGAGAGAGCACTGAGCTGATTGGTCAGGAGAGAAACGTCAGAGCTGGAAATATCTGCAGTCACAATCACAAACAGATTGAGGTTTCATTTACTTTAAAGCCACTGTGTGTTCAAATACAAACGTTAGCGTGGAGGGACAAACAGGGCGAGTTCTGCATGTTTGCCAACAGCTGCGTCACATGACCACACATACCTGAACTGGAAACACCTGTAAGGAAAACAACAGCCCCAACCCTGCAGATGATGGCGTCTGCTGTTTTAGCCTTAGTTTGAAAGTCCTGCAGGGTCACCTGTGCGATTAGAAACAGAAAACGGCGTCGACCTGTCGCACAGACACGAGCGTTTCGGCCCTCAGGGCCACGCACAGGACCCAAAGCCCTCGTTTAACAGAGCAGTGAAGTCAGAGCGATAAACAGGGCGACAGCACGAAGCCCACATCGACATCCGTGAGGCCAACGCCTCGGTCAGAGCGTAGACTACAGGCTGAATTCTTCAAATGGAAGCGTATCGACTTACATACACTCGCTGAACATTTTCCTAAAAACCCCACTGTGGAAAAAACGATTGTGGACAGCGAGCGATGAAACTGATAACTAGTTTGAGAGCAGCGTGCAGACGTTTGTCTGAGGTCAAACTCGCTTATTTCCCTGTTTCTGCTGTACTCAGTATGGGCTTTTGATTTGCTGCCAAATGCAGTGACCTGATTGGTCAGATGTGTTTGTTCGTCTCTGAAGAATCAAGTTTGGTTTCACGTTCCTCCTGCAAAATTGCACAGTCGGTATGAACGGCCACATCAACAGGCGTGAAACATCAGCTCAGATTTCGAGTGTGTGAAGGTCTGCAGAGTTTAAGAGGGGGTGTGGGCCCGCCGGTCCTCTCAGTCACACGAGTGAAACCTCAGCATCAGCTGATTTTATATTAGCTGCTCAGAGAGGGAGGGAGACCTCTGTGGAGAAATCAATCATCCCTTCTTCTAGAACAGGGCTGCCCAATCCCGGTCCTCGAGAGCTACTATCCTGCAGCTTTTAGATGCATCCCTACTCCAACACAGCTGAATCAAATGGTTTGATCTCTTCAGCATGCCATCGTGTTTGGCAAAGGCCTGATAACAAGCCATTCATTTGATTCGGGTGTGTGGGAACAAGGATGCATCTAAAAGCTGCAGGACGGTAGCTCTCGAGGACCGGGATTGGGCAGCCCTGTTCTAGAATAATGATGATGATGATGATACGCGGCTGCCTGTTGCCGTGGTGTTTGCTCTGCAGCCCTCACAGGTTCATATCAGACTTGTGTGTCGTGGTCCTGAGTGTTCTGACTCAGTGTTTGTGGTTTGTGGTTAATTTATTTTCTCTTTTATTCTTTTTCATGGTTTTGGTTCTGCTTGTGTTACAGTCTCAGTTTCTGTTTGTCTTCCCCGTGTCCCTCGTAGAGTCCCTCTGTCTCCTCAGACCGTCGTGTCTCTATGTCTCAGCTCTCGTCTTTGTCTTTGATAGTCTTGTGTTTCCTGTTTTACTTTGAAAGTCTCATGTCAGTGTATCTAGGCTGTATCCCAATTCAGGGTCTGCAGCCTCAACGATCCTCAAGGGCCGCGTACTTAAAGACCGCTAAGGCCGGAAGTGCGAGGCTTGTGAAATGGGGCGGTCTAGCCTCCGTTGCGCTGCCCAGGTTGCCTAGCAACCATGATACTAACAGCTGGAAATGTGTCATACAGCTGTGTTTGACAGAAATGAAGGAGAAATCTTCTGTTCATGTGTTTCTTTCTACATGAGCTTTGATCATTCTCTGTGAGATTAAGCTCAGCTATTGGACGGCGTATATGTTAAAGTAAAGGCTTTAAAACCAAGTTAGTACAAACGTCACTAATGTCACATGACTTTGCCGACATGTGACCAACAGGAATGTTTTAATGTTCTTCGTTATTAAACATTTGCACATAAATAAGTGACATAATATTCAGTACTTAAAGTTTACTCTTCGGCCGCCCCTCATCCGCCGTTTTTTTCGGCAAAATTATCCACACCCACCGCCGCGCTATGCATTCTGGGATATGTTGGGCCATGAAGTCTACACCGCCACAGCCTTAAAGTTCAGGGAAATGAAGGACGCATTTGAGGGCCGCATTACGAGCAGCCTTTGAATTGGGACAGCCTTCGTCGCGTCGCTGTGACGTAATCGGCCTTAAAATGCGGCCTTTAAGGCTGCAGACCCTGGATTGGGATACAGCCCTAGCTTTGCTTCCCCTCGTCTTATTATGTGTGATTAGTCCCAGCTGTGCTTCCCTCCTGTTTCCGGTTCCTGCTCCCTTGTGTATTTCAGCGCTGTGTTCTCCTTTGTCGTGTCGTACGTCTCCTGTGTGTTTCCTCCGTGGTCCTCGTTTCCTGTGGCCTTGGTTTACCAGCTTCTAGTTGTTATGCTTTGTTTCTTGTTTCCTGTATTTGAGTTTTTCACAGCGCAGTGAAAGCTGCCTCCTTCAGTTCCTCTGTGTCCTGTGAGTCCTGCATTTGGGTCCACTCTCCTGCCTGCCACACAGCAAACGTGACTGTGTGAGGTTTAGGATTCAGAGCCGTGGTGAAGGCCAGTAGAAGCAGGCAGAGCGGGACTTCCTCTGGCCTCATGGCGGCTCCTGGGCTTTACCCTGACATATGTTGGTCCTGGTTTATCGGGCCGGGGCTTTGCAGACGTAACGACCTGTAAGGACAGAAGATGGAACGTGTGGTGGAGGAGGAGGCCTTGGTTACGATGCTGTCAGTGATCGGGGTCAGGCTATGAAGATGAGACGGCTTCTGTTTAGGTTCACGAAACTTCCCACACCTGCCCGTCATCGTGTGAATGCAGTGATCTTTCCGCTTCAGTAACAACAACATCATTAAAAAAGTGGAACACATGAAACAAACACTGTGCAATAAAAGCACAGACGGGTGCTGATCTGAGGTCAGATAAGCTCATGATAGTAAGTAGGTCAACACAGTCTAGCAGGATCCTTCCTGCGTCTCTGACCTGTGAAGAGACGGGCCGATGAAAAGATAAGAGCGATCGGTTCTGTGAGGTCACATATCGTCGTATCGATGAGGAGATCAGACCGACAGCCCTCCTCCTCCTCCTCCGGGAGGAAAGTCTGAGCCGCTGTGATCGTCAGGAGGAGACGCGCTGTTCTGTGAGAGGCACAGGTGATTTAATGATCATCATCACGCCACATGTTGCTGACTTTGACAGCGACGAGTGCAGTAACGCAGCTGCTGCTGTCAGCTGTCCTGTTTGCTGCACAGCTACGAGGCCGTGTTTGCAGCGCAGAAAAACTGCAGTGACAGACCATTGTGTCACTGTACAGGTGTGTCAGGTGTACAACGCAACCGCCAACACATCTCACAGAAGAGATGAGAAATCACACCGAAGGAAACAAATCTGTGGTTCTGGAAACACGTCCACTCTGTGTTTACCACACGGGTTATGACACACATCAATGATATTTACAAGGTTCATAGCATCATTCTTTCTAATCACAGGCGCGGTCGAGTGATGTCATCACTATTGAGCACAAAAATAAGACCTGGTGTCAAATATTAACATAAGTATCTGCAAATGTTAGAAAAAGCGTGTGTGGGCACGTTAATATGGAATTAAAACAATGTTAGAATAGAATAGAATAGAATAGAATAGAATAGAATAGAATAGAATAGAATCATCCTTTAATTGGGGGGGAATGTGGGTGTCACAGCAGCCAGAAAGACACAAATACAAACAAACAGTACACAGGACAGAAACATACACAGTTTTTACATATTTACATCGAGGGCGATGGTTACCAAAAACAGAGTCCTGCACCCTTATTAAATAAAATAAAATAAATACAGTTAAGAGGCAAACCCTGGTTGTAGTGTGAATCGGTTGATAAAATAGTGCAAGTTGCAGCGCAGATGTAAACATCTGTGTTTGTTGGTACAGTCTGACGGCTGCAGGGAGGAAGGAGCTGTCCTGTGTGAATATGGCTTAAATGCTGAAATATCATTACAGCAGCTTCTCCTCACCTGTTCAGCAGGTATGTAGTTTGAGTTTCTCTTTGTATCCGTTTGCTGCTCACGGTGTGATTTATGTTCACATGTTTGAATCTGGAGGTCTGTATTAAAAATCCCAGTTACCTCTGTTTCCTCTGCATCAGCGTTGTTGCTGTTTTTAAATATCCAGTTTCTTTGGCCGTCTGTGATTTTCGCCACCTTTCACCACAAGTTTTTGTTTTGGTTATTACTAAAAGCTTCCTCTTATTTAGCATCACATTTGTTCAGGTGGCGTGAGAGCAGCAGCCTCCTGAAAAAGGCACGATTGGTAACCATGTGTTGTACCACTTCCCTTTTAGCCTTCAGCAGTTCCCGTGGTGACCGTCTCTGTTTTAACCGCCGTCTAACCTGGGTTGGTCTTTCCAGACCTGGAAACATGGCAGCTTCGACCTTCGACCCCTCCGGAAACAACAACAGTAACTCCAGCTGTTATGAAGACATCCAGGACACCTCAGCCCACATCTTCTTCATGGTGATCTACACCCTGGTGTTTCTAGTGAGTCGCTGTCCTCTCTGTCTTCATGATGTGGCAGAAAATAAATATTAAACTTTGACTACATGATGCAAACCTCCTTCCTGTCCCTCCCGTGTCTGCAGGTCGGTTTGTTCCTCAACGGTTTCACCCTGAACGTTTACTTCTTCAGGGGTCAGCGGCACGTGTCCAGCGTCACCCTCTTCCTGAAGAACCTGGCAGCGGCCGACTTCCTCATCAGCCTCTGCCTCCCTTTGCGAATTATGAAGTACGCCAACATTAAGTCTGAGATCATCCGCAAGGTCTACTGCAACTTCGGTGCCTCGGCCTTCTACCTGAACATGTACGCCAGCATCATGTTCATGGGCTTCATCGCTGCTAACAGGTGGGAACGTAATCAGGACACTCCAGGGGTCCGACAAAGAACTGCACACAACTGAGGCAAACATGCGAAAGCAGGGAAAAAACAGGCGTTAGAGAGAAGAGAGGACTTTAAATAATCAGATGAGACCCAGCAGGGAACAGAGGACAGGTGGAGACAATCTCAAAGGACAGAAAGAAAACCACAAAAAACCACAAAAAACAGGGAACAGAGAGGGAACGAAAACAGACGCCAAAAGTCAAAAAAGCCCAACGATCCAAAACAAAGCTGAGCGAGGTGACGACGCCGAGGCTGTAACACGTTTGTGTCTGCTGTAAACATTTTCAGCGCACCAACAGCCGATGGGATGTGGGTTCTTATCTTGTGGTAGATGATTGCCATCACTCTGTGTCAACTTAAATTTCAAGGAAATCGAACGTGGTTACGTTTGTCTGGCTTTTATTCGGGTCATGGCACCGAGCTGAGCGCCACCTGCATACACGACAGATTCTTTTTGTAAAAACCATAAACAGTCCACGATGTGCAGGCGCGCCGCGGCGATTAGTGCCATCGCCCGAGAACTAGGTCACAGCAGCATGAGTAGGGTTCAAATCCAGTGTGGCGTTTGTGCGTTACCTCTCCAGGTACCCCGGAGTCCAAAAATACAACCCTAACCTGATCCTGGGCGGGGCGGTGCTCACCAGGTGGATGGTAAGGCTTTGTAACATTCACCAGGTGAGCAGTGAATCACTTAGGACGGCTACCATGTATTTTATGAACTCATGTGGCTACAGTTCATCTGGCTTCTCAGCTAAACAGGAGGAAATTACAGGTACAGATGTAGACACGAGCCTGATCCTAGCAGCTGTCAGTTCAGCTGAGGGCGGTCAGTGCGACGCTGCGTGTTGTCTCTGCAGCTGCACAAAGGTATCAGCAGGATACTGTCATACGTGTTTGAAAAGCAAAGGATGTGGTCTCGATGCTACTTCTGCCTCCGTGGTCAGAGCTGAAGCAGCAGAATGAAATCAACAGCAGAGTTCATCACGGACTCAGCACGTTTGCACATATTACACAAACACGCACACATCAAAAGGGTCATTTAAGTAGTGAAACACCACCATCGGTGCATTTGCATTTAACATTTGTGTACTGTTGACTTTGCTTAAACCACTGTGGTGCATCTCCACTCGATCTCGGCTGTTACTGCTGGACCTGAAAAGTTTTAGACCCACTCTGAGACGGACCAATGGAAAACCCCAAACCCAGGAAAGCTGGAACAGCCAGATTACCGTATTTTTCGGACCATAAGGTGCACTGGATTATAAGGCGCATTCAGCGAAACAAAACAGTCAGATAAGTCAAACTTTACTCAACTCATTCTTCGTGCTTCCTCCACGTCCTCCAGGCTCCTGCCTACGATAGCCGTAATGCTCCAACAATCCAGCGGTGCGGCTTCGTAGCTTAGCAAAGTCGTACTGAAACATCTTTGACAGATGTTTGAGCGCCGTGTAGCACATAAAATCTGTTCGAGGTCAGTAAGCACAACCAGAATTCATACATAAGGCACACTGCCAATTTTTTGAGAAAATTAAAGGATTTTAAGCGCGCCTTATAGTCCGACAAATACGGTAGATCACGTGTTCACACCCCTGTCAGACTCAGTGAACCCATACAGCGCTGTATCCCTGTCACAGTGAGTTTAATAAGAGGCGGCTCCAGTTTGAATCACACAGATCTGGATCTGGTAACAGTGTGAGTCCAAACAACTCTGGACATGAAGTAGTTATCAAAATTTGGGGGAACAGACTAGAATCTAGTTATCAGTCTACTTTGAAATGTCAATCATCAGCCATGTCCCTGTGAATAAAGGGTTTCCTGTCTTCATTGAAATGCTCCCTCTCCTCCTGCCTTCCTGAAGAGGAAGTCTTTGTGCGTAAAGCTTATAGGTTAAAGCTTTTCTTTGGGGCATAATCATCCAACAGGCAGTGGCTGCAGACACGGTGGAAAGTGCAGGCTGGGAGAACATGAGTCCACACTGGATGAACATGCTTAGTCTTTGGTTTTCAGGAGGTGAAAGAGTTGGTTTGATTCACACACTGATAGCTCTCTCCTCCCTGCAGGTACCTGAAGATCGTCCACCCTTTGGGAAATCACATGCTGCAGACAGTACGAGGTGCTAAGATAACATCCATCCTAACCTGGGTCTTCCTCATCACTGTGACGAGCTCCTACATCCTGGTCTCTCTTATAACAGAAAAGCCGGTATATGAAACACTAACAAAAGTGAGCTGTGATGAGATGCACAGTAAAGAGCTCAACGTGCTTTACAAAATCATCCACGTCTTCTCGGCCACCATCTTTGTAACCGTCCTCGTCTGCCTGGTTTTCTTCTACTACAAAACCTCTCGCAAGCTTTCAGTGGCACAGGAGAAGCAGCCTGCATCTATTGGGTCCAAGAAGCTCGCCAGATCACGCAGAAACATGTTGGTGCTGGTCAGCGTCTTCTGCGTCTGCTTTGTCCCCTACCACCTGGTTCGTCTTCCTTACGCCTACACATCCAAGACCAGCAACTGTTCGTGGAGCCAGGTCTTCTTCTACGTGAAGGAAATGGCGGTCTTTGTGTCAGTTCTCAACGTTTGCCTGGACCCGCTCATCTACTTCATCTTCTGCAAGGCCTTCCGGGCCAGGTTGAGCCTCAAGAATGCGCTAGCCACTACAGAGGTGTCAACGGTCGCAGCGAACGCAGACAGGAGGAGCAGCGATACGCAGAGCTCCATCAAAAGGAAGCTATCGCTCACCCCAACGACAAGGACCAGCGTGCTGTAGCTTTAAGCTAGCACACGAACGACTGTGATGAATGTGAGCTCTAAAAACTGCAACTATGTGCCAAAGCTGCCTGCTGGGACCGGCTGTTTCAGGACACGGGTGGTACCACGTCGGGCTTTTCAGAGACCTGCACTGAAACGTTCCTGTTTGCTATCAAAGGCCTAAATATTAAGAAAAGTCATGTCAGTACACTGAAGTATTTTTTCATAGATGAGGAATTTCATCACTTAGCAACTATTTATCGTCTATCTTCTTTAACTCTGTGACTATAAATGATCCCTGATGGACAGCTAAACTGCAAGCCAACATATCTCAGAGGTTTTGACATTTTATGACCTCCTCCTGCACTGATGTACCTTTAAAACGTCCAAACTAGCCTCTTCTCAAGCTCATTTACAGGAAGCAGTCCGATTTGGTCTCAGGTGAACTGGACCCGTAAAACCACTGCATAAAAACCCATGTGTTTAAAAAACTGTAAATATGTACATTATGTTATTGTTCACCTGAACCAGAGCCACAATTTGTATGCAAACTGCTTTGGATATAAATAAATCGAATACATTTATCACACTGAAATAAGGTTTTGTTCCCAAGCGTTAAACATTTCACTCGCTGGCCCCTCATTTGAGGTTTGACAGCGTTTTAGTAGGTAAAGGTGAAGGGGACCAGCGGCGGCTCCCGGGCTTGACAGATCCCAATGCACTAAATAGAAGTTAAAGAATTGAAGGGGGGGGTGCACATAAATGAGAACAAACAGCTTGCAGAATTGGGGGAACCTATATATGTGAGAACCGGAGCGTGTTTGGAGGCGTGGTCCTGCTCCTGAAATTCAGATACTTCACAAGTCTCTCCAAAAAGTCAGTTTCATGCAGGCGCCAGCTTTCAGATAACTCAGTGATAAGACCACAGACGCAGGCAGAGCAACAATGACTCACTGCATCGAGAGGGGTTTTTCTACAATCATCTTTGGAAAGCCTCGGCCTCTTTATCAGGAGGAAAAGGTTTGAATTTTGACTTGCAAATGAACAAATATAGCACTTCAACACACGCACAGGCTTTTTCTGTAACTCTTCTTCCTCCCATGCCCTTCCTCCACGTGTCATCACACCTTTCTGACATAAACCTGGGCCAAAGGACATCACAGTCACTGTACGCCTACCACACCAACAGTACTATGCAGAGCTGTTATATTTCTGTGCTACAAATACTGTGAATAACTCCTGTGTGCACTGAGATGCGAGCTGTAAATGAAAGGTTAGTATTCTCCTAGAAGGTGTGAATTAAAAAGTCTGTTTTCTTAAGTGAAAATGATCAATACAACAATGAAAACAAGATTAATTATGAGTTTAAGTGTATTCAAAGTGCAGACAGATGATCTGTTTCACTCTTCTTGCTTGGTGTTCGCTCTCTCTGCTGTACAGTATCACGCTCTCTGTGTGCGGAGGAAACCTGGTCTTGTTAGGAGAGACGGCATCCATCCCACTTTGGATGGAGCAGCTCTCATTTCTAGAAATATGGACAAATTTATTAAACCCCCCAAAATATGGCTATCCAGAGTTGGGATTTCAAAAACTCTTTGGTTCTGAAAAAAAGAAGTTCAATATCAGTACAAAATAATGAATAATAATTCAACAACTTAAAAAGATTCCCCTTTGTCGGGAGCAGAAGCTGGGCTCTCCAAATCATGGAGAAACAACGTCCCACTTCTTTATTTTTAGTTCACAAACTCTTCTTATAACGACCAACTACTGAAATTTTGGAGATGTTAGCCCTTTATACATTAAAGTTATAATGGGATACATATAATATGAGGCTGAGCCTGCCACAATTTGTTCTCCCTGTCTAAATCACGGACAAACAGTATGCCACAGTCTTGATTTTTAGTTCACAAACACTTCTTATAATGACTAATTATTCCTGAAACTTTGGAGGTTTTAGCTCTTTATACAGTAAAGTTACAGGAGGATAAAAATAATTATCAGGCAAAATAATATCATCCGATTTTACGTGAGAACAATGAATATATAATTTCTGTTGTAAACCTCAAACTGAATAGTAATGTAACGACACTCACTTGTCACTTTTTCACAAAACTAAAACATCTCTACTTTCATGTCTAATTGTCTATAATGGAGGTGGAGTAAACTGGATCCGCACTCTGTGCCTAGCGGGTGCTCGCGGTGCGGGTGGAATGGGTTTTGTCGGGGATGCCTACCTTGGCAAAACACCTGGTCTGGCAGCATGTAGCGAGGCTCCAAAGGTTTTCAGTGTGAAGGAACTCCAGCTCACTGACAGGTCTCGCATACGACAGCCGCTTTATCACATGATGCATACTGCTCTGACGTGCTAAGGTCACTACCTGGGTTGCCATGTTGTTTTGTGAGGTGCTTTTGTGATATTTAATGGATCAGATTACATTTTCTTCCCTCCCCGATATCTGATCCAGTAATTTAGTTCAGGATTGGACCAATACCGATACTGTATATCGGATTGGTCCATCCCTACATCCAACCAGCCTCACAACCGTGAGATTTAGACTGTAACCACACCAGCCCAGGACCTCCACATCCAGCATGTTCACCTCCCAGATCATCTGAGACCAGCCACCTGGACAGCTGCAGTAACAATCGGTTTGCCTAACCAAAGAATTTCTGCACAAACTGTCAGAAACAGTTGTACTCATCGGGGTATGGACCTGCAGTTTGTCGTCACATTCAATGGCGTCTTGAGAGGCGTTCTGTTGGAGAGGCATTTCTTTCACGGATGAGTCCCGGTTTTCACTGTTCAGGGCAGATAGCAGACGACGTATGTGGCATCGTGTTGATGAGCACTGTGGATCGAGTGACTCGTGGTGGCGGTGGGGTTATGGTATGGGCAGGTGTATGTTATGGACAACGAACACAGGTGCATTTTAATGCTGGCATTTTGAATGCACAGAAATACCGTGACGAGATCCTGAGGCCCATTGTTGTGCCAATCATCCATGACAATCACCTCATGTTGCAGCATGATAATGCGTGGCCCCATACTGCAAGGATCAATGGTACTCTTAGTACCATCGATGTTAAGTTAGACTCTTTTTCTCCAATTGATCTTTCTGAGTTAACTTCAATAATTACTTCCTCCAAACCATCAACGTGTCTTTTAGACCCCATTCCTACAAAACTGCTCAAAGAAGTCCTGCCATGAATTAATTCTTCGATCTTAAATATGATCAACCTATCTCTAATAATCAGCTATGTACCACAGGCCTTCAAGCTGGCTGTAGTTAAACCTTTACTCAAAAAGCATCTCTAGACCCAGCAGTCTTAGCTAATTATAGGCCAATCTCCAACCTTCCTTTATATCAAACATCCTTGAAAGAGTAGTTGTCAAACAGCTAACAGATCATCTGCAGAGGTTTATTTGAAGAGTTTCAGTCAGGTTTCAGAGCTCAGCACAGAAACAGCTTTAGTGAAGGTTACAAATGATCTTCTTATGGCCTCTGACAGTGGACTCATCTCTGTGCTTGTCCTGCTAGACCTCAGTGCAGCGTTCGATACTGTCGACCATAATATCCTATTAGAGCGATTAGAACATGCTGTAGGTATTACAGGTACTGTGCTGCAGTGGTTTGCATCATATCTATCTCATAGACTCCAGTTTGTGCAACATCTCTAAAGTTAGAAATATCCTGTCTCAGAGCGTCACGGTCCTGAGTCGGACCGACCCAGCGTCTTGAGTTGCTTATGTCTTGGTTTATTTTTGAATGATGGATTGTTCTTTATGTTTCTCTGGTGCTTTGTTGGTTTTTATTATGAGTCGGTGTTTCAGTTATGCTGGTATGTTTCTGCATTATGATTAAGGTTCGGGTTGTATTTGGTTATTATTGCCGGTTCAGCATCTTGTCTGTCTCACTCTGTCAAGTCCGTATCCTGGTAAAGTGTGTCTTGTTTCCTGTTTTACTCTGAAGGTTCATGTTCCTGTCTTCCATGTCAGTGTTTCTAGCTTTGTTCCCCCGTCTCATTAGGTCTTATTCCTCCCAGCTGTGTTCCCCTTCTGTCTCTAATTCCTTAATAACTTCCTCAGTGTATTTAAGCCCAGTGTTTCTTCGTGTCAGTGTTGTGTCGCATTCTCACGTTAGCTGTGTGGTCCATCTGCCTGCCTGTTTATTTTTGTATCCTCAGTTCAGTTTAGTTTCTGCTCCGTTTCTCCAGCAATAAAGCTGTGTATTCTGAGTTCACGTCTGCCTCCGAGTCCTGCATTTTGGGTCCTATCTCCCTGCCTGCCCGCACACAGTCATGACAGAACGACGCGACCATAGCCTGGACCCAGCGGGCTCGTCCCAGGACTGTGATCTCTCCCGCATTCAATGTTTGGTTAAGCAGATTTCCCACACAACAGACGCTAAGGTGATGGCGGTTGGGATTAACGCTATCAAAGCGATCCTGGAGGGGAATTCTCATCTGCGTCAGCTTGGAGAATATATGGGCCTGATGGACCAGTTGCATGAAGCTCATGAGGTGTTACAAGCTCGGGAGCTTGCAGCAGCGGCGGCCGCAACATAAGGAGCTCGCCGCGAAATCGTCTGCTGCACAGCAGCAATCGCCACGGGGGAGAGCAAAGGGCTTGATTCACCTGCCTCCTGCTTGGCGGCGATGTGGTCGGAGGACAAGGACTTCTTTTCTCCATCGTCACCAGTTTCTCCTGTCACCAGGAGGAAGTGGCGCCACCTGACAGTCACTCGTCAGAACAGCAGGCAATGGTGAGTGATGTGGGCTGCACCCCTATTGCTTCACCTGCGAATTGTAATGGCGACTGTTTTCCTCTCATGGCTGAGAGTAGTGAGGTGAAGAGGGTTCGTTCTATGGACGTGCACCCCGGCCCTGAAGAAAGAAAAGACTCTCTGACTGATTATGATGATGTTTTTCCGCTAAAGAGTCAGAACGTATGGACGAACCTCTGATTGTGCACCCTCTGTTGGAGCCTGCTAAGAACTGTTGAGTCGATACAGAATTAACCTCGGACAGTTTGAATTCAGTTTTGAGGTGCACTGCTGAATCTGTTAATAATGCTGTGGGTTTGCAATCTAAGAATAGAGAGGGAGACTTAACGGGCTGTTTTTGCCCTGCTCTCTTTGAGCAGAGAAGCCTAAGCAGGACTGTTTCTTCTGAACTCGTTCTGCTAGTTAAACCCAGCCCTAGAGGCTCAGGGAGCCTATACCACCCCCTGCATCACGTTCACTACTCTCCAACCGTCAGCTCATTCAGCTGCCCAGTTAGCTACTCCGTTACCTATAGCTCAATCATCTGCTCCATTACCAGTTTCATTCTCGCCACAACCGTCACTTCAGCCTTTTGTAACCCAGTCGCCTGCTGAGCAGTCCTCTTTTCTCACTCGTGTGAAACAGACGCACCCAATAAGACTGTTTTTGTTTCTCAAAAGCTGACCCGATTAGAGACAGTTACTCTCTCCAGGGCCTCCCCAGAGTCTGCGTTTCAACCCGCAGTCGACTCTGGACCCCTGGAGGCTAAGAAGTCAGCTGAGGACTGCACCCAACTGTTGCTGTCTGAGCCAAACCTAGGTGTT